GGTGGAGAGCCATACCTTCTGGCCCTCCTGATAAGTGTGTTGTTGAGACCTCCGCCGGTTAGCCCCTTTAACGTAGGCTGCGGACGTCTCCAGGAGGGCTCGTCTGGCTCTCCGCCATACGTGTTGGCAGCGTAAGGCTGACTGGTGAGCAGAGGGCACTTGGGCTTCACGTTCCTGGGTGGTGAGTAAAGGGGGCTGAAAACCAAAAACCTTGTAAAAAGGGGACAGACCGGTAGCAGAGGAAGGGACAGTGTTGAGGCCGTGTTCGACCCAGGAGAGGTTGGGGGACCACTGGCTCGGATCTTTCTGACAGAGGATCCTCAGCTTGGCCTCGGCCTCCTGGTTCGCCCTCTCCATCTGGCCATCAGTCTGGGGATGAAAGCCAGAGGAGAGGCTAATGGAGACCCCCAGGAGTTCGCAAAAGTCTCTCCAGAACTTGGAGACAAACTGAGGTCCTCTGTTAGAAATGATATCTGTGGGCAGACCGTGCAGGCATAAGACCTCACGTGACATGATCCCACCAGGGTCTTGGCTGAGGGAAGCTTGGGAAAACGGTCAACAACCGTCAGGATGATGGTGTTGCTGGCAGAGGGAGGAAGACCAGTGATGAAATCTAGACTGATGTGGGACCATGGGCGTGATGGGATAGGAAGTGGATGGAGGAGACCAGAGGGGGGACGACGTGAGGACTTTGCTTGGGAACAGGCAGGGCAGGATAAAACAAAAGAGCACATGTCCTGGTTTAAAGTGGGCCACCAGAACTGTGCACAAACTAATGAAATAGTCTTAGAAAAACCAGGATGACAAACTAGGCAGGAGCTGTGGCAAAACTTGAGGACCTCCTGGACAAACTCAGGGGGTACAAATAATCGGTCAGGGGGACAGGCGGTTGGAGGAGGGTGCCACTGGTTGGCCTGTCTTAGGTCCAGCTCCAGTTGAGTGACAGCCAGGCGGGCAGAGTTTGGAAGGATAAACTCCCCGGCAGGAGGTGGCGAGGAACAAGAATCCTCCTCCATGATGCGAGAGAGGGCATCAGGTTTTGTGTTCTTGTGACCGGGTCTATAGGTGAGGGCAAAGTTAAAACGGGAAAAGTGCCCACCTGGCTTGTCGAGGGTTGAGACGTTTGTCCAGCTTAAGGTACTCAAGGTTTTATGGTCGGTCCAAACCTGGAACTGGAACTGGGCACCCTTGAACCAGTGCTTCCACTCCTCCAGCGCCAGCTTAACGGACAGCAGTTTGCGTTCCCCAACATCATGATTACGCTCAGCTGGTGATAGGCTTCTGGAGAAGAAAGCACAGGGATGAATAACTCCTTCCTTATCCTGTTGGCTAAGTACTGCCCCCACACCCACACTAGATGCATCTACTTCAACAATAAATGGTACCTCTGGGTTGGGGGTAGGGAGGACAGGGGCAGAAGAAAACAAGGTTTTTAATTTTTTATACGCTGCATCAGCTGTCTCTGTCCATAAGAACTTCTTCTTGGAGGAGGTGAGAACATGGAGGGGGTTAGCAATGAGGCTATAGTCTTTAATAAATCTCCGGTAGAAATTAGCAAACGCTAAGAACCTCTGTAGTTGTTTCCGGTCTTTGGGTACTGGCCAGTCTAGTATTGCAGACACCTTGTCATTACTCATCTCAACTAAATTGGGTGAAATCTTAAAACCGAGAAAAGATGTGGAGGACTGGTGGAAATCGCATTTTTCAGCTTTAACAAATAAATTATTTTGTAACAACCGGGTGAGAACAGATCTGACATGTTTTTTGTGTGAAGTTAGGTCCTTGGAGAATATTAAAATATCATCTAGGTAAACAAAAACAAACTGATTTACCATGTCCCTTAGGACATCATTGACCATAGACTGGAACACAGCTGGGGCGTTGGTCAAACCAAAAGGCATGACCAAATATTCATAATGACCATTGGGTGTGTCGAAGGTCGTCTTCCACTCATCTCCCTCACGTATGCACTAGGGCATTAACAGAGTACTCGAGTAATCTACACATCGATTGCTAGGACATCTATCGAGGTTAAAAATGTAACGTCGGGTATCCGTAGTGACGTCATATTATGTGACCACAGTATGACCGTAGGGGGCGGTGTTGCACTGTTGCAGGTCACAGAGTATGGTGTAACACCGGGTCCAATCCACCGAACCAGAACCAGTTTCAGTTTAAGTTTCGTTTTTGACGTGCTGCATGTTTCTTCACGTTTGCAGTTTAATAATAATAAGTAATAGTTTAGTTTTTCCTGTGACTTATTTGCAGTATGATAAATGGTAGGAGCATAATATATGCTCCCAATGTTTTGTTGGTCTTTTTTTTTTGTAAATAATTACCTTTTTTTTGCGGTTTTATTTATTTATTTTTGTATCTTGAGATTTATGACGTCATCAAATACTCGAGTTCTACTCGGGTTGTATTATGTTAATGTCGAGTTAAAAAATTATATACTCGTTCAACCCCTAGTATGCGCATCATATGGTACACATTACAGAGGTCAAGCTTGGTGAATACTGAAGCGCCTTGGATGAGGTCAAAGGCGGATGACATTAATGGAAGGGGGTATTTGTTTTTTATGGTTATTTTGATTAACCCCCTATAATCTATGCAGGGCCTTAAGGATCCATCCTTCTTCCCCACAAAGAAGAAACCAGCGCCTGCTCGAGAGGTAGAAGGCCTGATGATGCTGGCTTGAAGCAAAGTCTTGATGTACTCCTGCATGGCTTCTTGCTCAGGAGTTGACAAGAGAGTACAGGGCCCCTTTAGGGGGTGTAGAACCAGGAACCAAGTCAATAGGGCAGTCATAAGGCCTGTGTGGTGGTAAAGAGGTGGCTTTGACTTTATTAAAAACCTCCTTTAAGTCATGGTACTCCTCTGGGACTTTAGAAAGATCTGGGTAAGTCTTTTTAATATTGTCTTAGGAATGGACGGAATGACCACATCAAAAAGACAAGATGACAAACAGTTATCGGACCAACCCACAATCTCCTTCTGTTGCCAGTTAATATGTGGGTTGTGTTTTGAGAGCCATGTGGCCCCTAGGACCACAGGAGAGGGGTGATTTGATAATAAAAAACTGCAATGTCTATTTGTGATTACCCACTATGGTTAAAGTCATTGGTTCGGAGATTAAAGAGGAGTCATGAAGAGGGTGACCATCTAAGGCTACAATGGACAGTGGTTTAGGAGACTTAAACAGTTTTATTCCTCGTTCTTGGGCAAACTGAAGGTCCATGAACTTAGAGTCGGCCCCTGAGTCAATGAGTACTTTAATGGAGGTGCAGGTCTTACCAGAAATAGACAGCTCAGCTGGAAACGTGAAGGGTGAAGAGATTGCTGGATTTTGGGACTGACTCAGCAGGAGTCTCCTCTTCTCTGCTGAGTCTGGCCTTTTAACAGGCAGTTAGAGATGTTGTGAGAGTCATGACCACAGTAGAAACCAGCCGGTTCCGACGTCTCCTCTCACTTTCTTCTGGAGTAAGACGGCTGCACCCAATCTGCATGGGCTCCTCTCGTGGTGGTGTCTCTTGTGGACATGATAGAGAGGGGGGTCCCAGGGGAAGCCATCTGGGAGCCTCTCTGGGTTCCTCAAGGGGTCTTGAGGCTCTGCTGAATCTCTCAGCTCGTTCTCGGGATCTCTCCATCAAGCGCAGATCCACCCTTGTCACCAAATCCTCCAGGTCCTGCAGTGAGTCCAGGTATTGCTTGATTGCCAGGTTGTCCTTGATCTCCTCGTTAAGCCCTGTGTAGAAAGCATCAGTTAGTGCCTCTTCATTCCATTTACAACCAGCAGCAGTAGCATGAATTTCTATAATGTACTCTGTTACTCTTTGTTTTCCCTGCTTCACTGTAAACAGTCTACAAACAGCCTCTCTTTCTGGGAGGATGGGGTCAAAAACTCTGCACAGCTCTTTTGAAAACTCATGAAACGAGTAGCAGTACCTTGAATCATTTTGCCATTTTGATGTCCCCCAGGACTTAGCTTTTCCAGACAGGAGGGACACGGTATACGCCACCTTAGCACGTTCAGAGGGGAAGGATGAGGGCTGGAGCTGGAAATTAATCTCACATTGTGTTAAGAACGGGCGGCACTGGTCCGATACCCCTGAAAACAGTTCTGGTGGAGCCAACCATGGTTCCCAGAGTGGGACTGCCAGCATTATTTGAGTCCTGAGGGTTAGAGTGAGGAGTTAGAGTCTTAAGCATGTTCATGATCTCATTCATGCCGTTCTCTAATTTACTGATGGCACCTTCCACGCCAGAGCGCCATTCTGAGCCCGGTTCAGGATCCATGTTTGGCCATATCAATCTGTCAGAGATCTGATGGCAGAGGACCCTACACACAGACTCAGAAAGGTTTTTAAAATGTTTATTATGTAAATAAACAGCTTCTGGTGTCTCAGGTCCAGGGGCAAGAACTGTATCTAAAATGATACAGAGGGGAAAGATTAGTGTTTGACAGAATAACAAGTAGTTATCTGAATACAGACGGTCTGATGAAACACTAACCTTTCTTGTAGTAACAGGACGCTCCAGCGGAGACACAGAGCTGCAGAAACCAAGGGAAATCCAGAGGCGTAGTCGAAAATGAGCAGGGTTCATACACGGGATCAGAAGAGAAGACAGTACCGATAGGGAGAGGCAAAGGCGAAATCCAAAAACAGGCATAGGTTGTCAACAAGGTCAGAAGACTGAGGCACAAAAGGGACAGGCAAAAAGCGTGGTCGAGGGAAACAGGCGTGGATCAAGATTAAAGAGCTGTGAACAAAGAGAGTACGATGGATAACTGTGGCTGGAAGCAAGCAGTTGATCTGGCAATGTAGTGGAGAAAGCAGGAAGTATATATCATTTGGACCAGTTATATTTCACATTTATCAGATATGACCGCAGCTGTATAAATATCAGCACTCGGCTCAGGACGCTGTTCAGGGTAAAAAGTGGAACAAAGGACATCCTGTAGCACAAAGACAAACCACCCACGGGACTTGCGTAGGAACATGGCTGGCTTTGGAGAAGTGGACTTGTCGGTGAATGCCCCAGCTCTCTCCAAGCTGAAAGAGCAAGTGGGAGAGGACTCCGCCCCCGCCACTCCAGAGTGTGCCATCTGCCTGCAGAGCTGCATCCACCCTGTCTGTCTCCCCTGCTCCCATGTCTTCTGCTTCCTGTGTGTGAAAGGTGCCTCCTGGCACAGCAAGCGCTGCACTCTCTGCTGACAGGAAATCCCAGAGGACTTCTTGGAGCGTCCAGTTCTGCTCTCTCCAGAAGAGCTAAAAGCTGTGGCCTCAGCACTGAGTCGGAGTGGGGGTGGGTCTCGTGGGGACTACGCCTGGTACTATGAAGGGCGAAACGGCTGGTGGCAGTATGATGAGAGGACTAGTCGAGAGCTGGAGGAGGCTTTTGTAAAGGGCAGGAAGAGCACAGAGATGCTGATTGCAGGGTTCCTTTATGTGGCAGATCTGGAAAATATGGTACAGTACCGCCGGAACGAGCATGGCCGTAGACGCAAGATGAAGAGGGACGTCGTAGATATTCCTAAGAAAGGAGTGGCAGGGTTGAGGTTAGAGCCTGAAGCTGCCTCCATTCCTGCTGACCCAGCTGCTGTGTCAGCATCAACAGAACGTGTGAGCTCAATTTTTTTTTCTAGGGGTGGCTGTGGCTGAGTGGTTAGAGCAGTTGTCCTCCAATGCGAGAGTTGGGGGTTCGAATCCACCAGCAGTCACATGTCGAAGTGTCCCTGGACAAGACACTGAACCCCTCATTGCCTCTGATGCGTGTGCCATCACTGTATGAATGTGATCTAAAGCACTGATTAGTCTCATTAGAATGATTTGTTCAATTAGCTTTGTAGAGATCTAGTAGAGTGCTGTATGAATGGGTAAATGAGGACACATATTTTGGTGTAAAGCACTTTGAATATCTTGAAATAAGATAGAAAGGTGCTATATAAGTACAGTCCATTTACCATCCATTTATATACACCCAGAAACAGGTGGAAACCATCAGCAGCAATCAGAGAGGGAGGTGTGGCATGTAAAGAGGCTGGCAGAAGCAGCAGAGGAAAAACCCAGGAGAGCAGAGAAGAAAAAGTCAAAAAGTGAACAGAGTGATGAGAAAAGGAAAAAACAGAGTGTAAACTGTGACAGATCCCCCCTTAAGGCGCAGCACCTGACGCGCCCCGAGGTTAGTACGGGTGAAGG